CGAGCTTCGGGCAGGGCAGGAAAAAAAAAGTGATCGTGGTGGGCCCTAAAAAAACGTTCCCACGAGGGAACCTGCTCTGATACCATGTCAGAATAGTGAAGGAAGGAATGACTGAACTAGCAAGTGTGTACAAGTAGGAAACCTAAAAGTGTTGTACCCTATATGAACTACCCCACTACAGCCTAGAAAGACTATAGCATATATGTTTGACACTGGTGTCAGTCCGAAGCGTTTTGCAATGGTGTCGGCGTATGTTGCGGCGCTGAGGTAGATCGCGTTCTCTCCGTCTATAATGTTGAGTCCGAGGTACTGGGTCACGGTAGAAGAAACCGTGAGTGAGAGGTCATGTTGCAGCTCCCCTTCAAACCAGTTGGTGATGCCGTCGGTGGAGCCTAAGTAGAGTAGGTCGTCTACATATACGATGAGTAGAACGTACTCGGCTTCCTTTGTGAGCCTGTACATGCCCTGGTCGTGTGGCAATTGCTGAAAGCCGATGCAGATTAGTCGGGCGTGTAGGTACTGTTGCCATAGCCGCGGAGCTTGCTTGATGTCGTACAAGGATTTCACCAGCTGACAGAATTGATAAGGGTCTGTGTTGGACCCGTGTGGTTGCTCGATGAAGATTTCGGCGTCGACGGGAGTGTAGAGGAACGCGTTGGCTACGTCGATTTGGCGGAGCTTCTTCTTCATGGCGGCTATTGCGAGGTGAATTCGCAGGGAGCTATGTCGGCTGACTGGCGCAAAAGTCTCGGTGAAGTCTCGCACGTGCTCTTGATCGAAGCCACGTATGACCCATCGTGCTTCGAATTTGTCGATTGGCCCGTCACCTTTCATTTTCACGCGGAAGACCCACTTTCCCGTGAGGACGGTTTTGTTGCGTGCCACTCCGATGGGTACTATCTTCCAGGTGTTTCTGTCTTCCAACGCTCTTAACTCCTTGTCCATGGCTTCTCGCCATTTTTCCTTGTGCTCCCCCCCCAGAGCCTGCTGAATCATAGCAGGCTCTCTCGACATTGGTGCGCCATGGACTGCGGTAACAAGTCCAAGAACCTGCAACCCACTCTGTATGTAGCGAGGGAGATTTGGGTCCTCAGGATAAACTGCTTCGTCTCCCGTTTCTGGATCAGGTAAGAATTTGGGGCCTATGCGTTCTGAAACGTTTGTGTTGATTGGCTGTGGTGTAACGTAACCCTTGTCGGCGAAGTCGTAGTAGACTTCGACGTTGATGCTTTCGCGAGGATTTTCATCATCCATCGGAATGGGTACCGAACAGAAGGGAAGAGGTCCAGCTTCCTCCGATGTTCCGTCCACGTTTTGTTCATCCCAGTCAGCCTCATCTGCTGGTGAGGCGAAGGCTCGGTTGCCACGGAAGCCGCCCGTGAGGTCTCGTTCTGCTGCCAAGTTGTCCAGGTACGTTTGGAGAGTGAGTCGTTCGTAGAAAATCACGTCACGTGCTGCTACTGTTTCCTTCGAGTGGACGTCGAAAATCTTCCACGCGTTGTAATGTTTTTCGATGCCCAGGTGTAGTCCCCATTGTGCGCGTTGTGAGAATCGTCCAACTCGTGTAGTGTGTGGTCAGTACTGTACCATGCTGCCAAAAACTCGTAACATTTTTGTATTGCCCAATTTTCCTGTCCATAGCAGATGCGGTGATGTGTTGTTCGGAAGCGAGGATGACGAAAGCAAGTTGTGCAACAACACAGCGTGGTCCATCGCCTCAGACCACTGATGGTTGGGTAGCCGCATGCCACGTAGTAGCTTGCGCATGGTGTTCTGGAGGGTCCTGTTCATTTTTTCTGCCACGCCTTGCTACTGATGATCGTAGGGAAGAGAAATGAGTCGCTTGATGCCTTTCTCCGCCAAGTATTGCTTGAATCGATGTGACTGATATTCTCCTCTTCCGTCTGACTGAAAGCTTTTCAGCTTCGCTCCTGATTCTCTTTCTGCTACGGGGAGCCAAGCGACAAATGCCTCGAAGGCCATGTCGCGACTCGGAAGGTTGAGGTGCCAGACGTATCTGGTAGCGGCGTCGATGAACGTGATTACGTAGTTGTATGCCCCTTCTTCGCTTTCGCGGGTGTACAGTATGTCGATGTAGATCTTCTGCAGTGGTGGGTTGTGGTGAGAGACAAACGGCTGATGGGGTAATTCGGCTTCAGGGCAGGTAAAGCAGGTTCCGCGGACTCGTTGAAGTTCTTTGCCGTCGGGTAAAAGTAGTGAGTCTTTATCGAGCACTCCTGCTCTTATCGTGTTGTTCAGTGTCGTGTTGCTTGGATTTCCTAACCTTTGATGCCATAGTGATTCGTCGGCGCGATGACTAGGTGAACGTCTGTACAGATCGGAGTTGGAGTAAAAACTTGCGGTGATGTTGGTGCTTTTGTGAGCTTTGCGTGGGGCGAGAGTCAGTTGTTGAGTGGGTGTCGGTGCTGATGAAGAGCTGGTGAGTGGTGCTGGTGCTGATGTTGTTGCTTCTGCTTTTGTCGGTGTTGCTACTGCTGCTGTTGTCTCTGCTGCTGTTGTCTGTTGAATCACTGCTAACGCCCTTGTACGTTCGGCTTCAGGTATGGTGTGCGAGTACCAGAAACCTCCGGGGCTGAAGTCTGAGTCGAGATCTGGTGGGTGCGACCAAGTGGTGAAGTTGACGATCGCGTCGCTGTCAGCAGTGCCTTGATCTGGGACGAAGTCGAGAACGAAGACGTTGTTCTTCAGGACTGCCTTCCCGATGTAAAGTCCTCCCTTCCCGTTGTACAGCTTGAACTCCTGAGTGGTGCTGTTAGCTTCAAGGTGAATCCCTTTTGCCATGAGTTGGCTGATGCTTAGCAAGTTGTAGCCCAGTCCTTCTGCAACCAAAACCTTTGACATCTGTAAAACGTCGTTAGTCTTGCGGGACTGAAGTTGAATTATTCCTTGTCGTCGTGTGCGCAGGTTCTGGTTGTTGGAGACGGTGATCAGGACTTCCCGGTTGAAGCGTTGTTCCCGTTGAACGAAGCGATTTGATGAGCACATGTGTTGTCCGCAGCAGCTATCCAAGAACCAAGTATCTTGACCGGACGGTTTGTTATGTGCGATAGCCGCGTATGTCAGGTTTGGTTGTAGCGATTCACGACGAGGCATACTTTCATCAAGCACTTTTTCTGGTGAGTAGGTCAGTGGTGAACCAGTGATGCAGGAGTCTGTTCTTGTCATGCAACTTATGATGTTTCTTGTTCCTTGTGCAGGTTGTGATGTTGTCGATGAAGGTGGCGCCTGATTCGAAGGATGTTGCTGAGTGGAGGTCACTTGACTACTTAAAGGTAGAAGCTGACTTGGTGATGGAGTCGATTGCTGCTGATTCGGGCAATGAATGCGAGAGTGTCCTGACGTTCGGCAGGGATGATAGAACGGTGGTACGTATCTTCGTGCTTGGTGCTCTTGTTGTCGGTTGTTGTTGTTGTTGTTGCGCCACAAAGTGTGAAAGGCGAATTCCGGTGCTGGTCCTCTTTTTCCTTATCGTTCTTCTTGCTGGTCCATGTCTTGTTGTTCGGCATGAATTTCGGTGCAGAGTTTTGCTTCAGAGATTCTTCCGTGGGCTCGGAGGATGGCTCGAGTGGAGCGCCAGTGAGGACCAAGACCTGCGATGACGACAGTGACAAACGCTTCTTCAGATATTGATCCGCCGCATCGAAAGAGTCTATCACGCAGGCCGCGATAGCGGCTGGTATATGCCATTCCCTTTTCGCCATGTTGCATTTGAACCGTTGTTAATTGCGCCATGAGACGACTTTGATTGACGCTGTCGGTTGCTTGATACAGGTTTTCCAGCTGGTTGTACGCGAGCTTGGCGGAGTTTCCGTATCCGCGATAAGACCGGATGTTTTGCTGCTCGTTTGCCATTATGTTTCGCAGAAGTATGGTGTACGCCATCAGTGACTGGTATGTGTAGTGTTGCTTGTCGTACTGTCTCGCGTGCGTTGGATATGGCAGGGAGCCGTCAAAGAAGCCAAGGATTTGAGCGCCTTCCATCATCAGCTCGAATTCAAAGGACTAGGTATAGAAGTCTTTTCCGTCAAACAATGTTGATGTTTGTAGTTTCAGCACGTGTGCGAATTGTGACTGCAACTGAAGTGTATCCAGTGTCTTCGTCTCTTGTCCAGGTGGGAGCTGATTCGGCATGAAGCTGACAGAGCCGCGTTGAGGTACATACGGTGCGAAGGTAGGCTGTTGATTTCCGCGCGCAAAAGATGAGCCATCGAGACTCATGGGAGTAACTCCGTTGTTGTTGTCGCTGTTGTTTGACTGCGCAGGTGCCGCTTGTTGATGTTGCTCGTAGAACGACATGAACGAGAAAAATTTCTCCATCATACTTGGGTCGATGCCGATTGTTTGGTTCGCAGGAGTCTCAGTTGACTCGACAGCTGGTCTTTGAGTTGTGCCTCCTTCTGTCTGCAGTCCAGAGGCTGACGGTGGAGTAGGAGTAGTACCGGGAGATCCAGTAGACGAGCTTCTTTCCTTCTGTGTTGCCATGTCTTCTGATGTTGCAGGAAGTTGATTAAAGTTGATTTTGTAGGCTCTCATACCATGTTGGGCTGAAAAAGTCCTTAGGATCGTTCAAGACTAAACTCTCAGAGTAGTCATGTATTTAGCGAAAGCGTAATAATGGATTGGGTGAACCACTTTGTACTAATATGTGAGAACAAGATGAATTGATAAAAGCAAAGAGATACAAGGATATATATATGATTACAAGGAATACAAAGGGTTTAACTGCAACTGTTGTAGCGGTTCGGTACAGCGACGACTCAGGTAACTGTTCAATAACGAGTCAGTTATTTGTCCTTGCTGTCGCGCTGCCTTTGTCAAGTCAAAGGTCGCTGACCTTTGACCTTCGCTTCAACGTCCTGCTGTTGTCGCCTAGTCAACCGCTTTGGTTGACTCGGTGTTGCTTCGCTGTGAGTATATTTCCTCTTTTTGTTCTAGTGCTCGATACTTCAGAAGCGTAAACTAAATGTTTCCAGCACATGTCACCCACCTACCTTTGCTCCTCCCTCTCCTGCCATTCCCTTGTTGTCTCCCTCCTCACCTATCACAAAACATTTCTCCTCAACTCCTGCAGTCAACCCCTCCTCTTCTCCTTCCACTTCCCCTTCTTCCTCATCTCCCATACCCTCCTTCCCAACAGCTGCACCCAAACTCCCTTCTTTCTCCTCCTTCAAACCCTCCCCACCTCCATCCCCTCCTCCCCCCCACATCACCCCCCTTGCCGCGTCCACCAACCCTTCAAACCCCAGCCACCCCGCCTCTCCCGTCCCCTCGTTCCTCTCCTCCCCCGCTCCCTCTACCGCACCCCACCAGCCTGCACCCAACCCCCACCCACCTCCCCCACCAAATCCAGCCAGCCCAGCAAAGCCAGCAAACCCACCAGTCCCACCTGCTCCTGCTGTACCCTCCATTAGTTTCTCCAGCCCAATGGGCGGCACAGGGGGGGAATACATGGGGAGGCACAGCTTGGCTTGCTTAAGTTGGCAGGCCATGACAGGCTTGGGGGTGGAGGGGGGCCGCCAAAACTCTCTCGACGCGGAATAGACGGCCACGGCCGCTCGAATCGACTCTCCAGGCGAAACTGGTGCTGCCACCGCCGCTGCTGCTGCTGACAAAAGGGAGCTCTCGCTTTTCACTCGCTCACTCCTCCTCCCGTGTCTCTTCTCATTACTACTCTGCTCAATGCTCCCCTTGTTGCTGCTCTCCTCATTTATCTGACTCCATAGCCCGTTTTCCCCGTCCTTTCGACCAGCCATGCCATGCAGGAGGGCAGTCTCCTGGTGGTGCTCCAGCAGCGCTCGCTCTTGAAAGGAGAGCAGCGAGCGGGAGATGCGCAGCGAGTGTGGGAGCGACCGCTTGGTCCAGTGGGGCAGGCCGGGCAGAAAGAGCCCTTCAGGGGGGGGGTGTCGAGGGGGAGGCAGGCCGGGAGGCACGGGGCAGGGAGTGGGAAGAGGTAACACCCATGCTCTCATGCCACCGCCTCAAGCGAGACTCAAGTGACTCCTGCCCCTCCTTCCCTCCCTCCCCTTCGTCTGCTGCTTCTTCTGCTGCTGCTGTTTCTTCTTCTCCTGCTGTTACTGCCACTTCTGCTGGTGCATCTTCTGCTGCTGCCGCTTCTGCTACTGCTGCCACTTCTGCTGCTGCTTTTTCTTCTGCTGCAGCCGCTGCTGCCGCTCCTGCTCGTGAAGCTAGCGGCTGCCCAACGCAGGATGGCATGTTCTCAATATCAGGGCAGCTGAAGTTGCGGTGGAACCTTCTAGACGCACCAATTCGGGATGATGCTGCTGGTCTCCTTGACAACTGGGGGGCAGCAGAGGGGGTTGCGCGGCCTGCTGCTGCTGCTGCTGCTGCTGCTGCTGCTGCTGCTGCTGCTGCTGCTGCTGCTGCTGCTCCTGCTCCTAATACTGCTGCTGCCCCTGCTGCTGTTCCTGCAGCTGTTCCTGCTGCAACAGAAGAGTAGTCTGTAACTGTAACTGATGAAGCAAACCATGCCTCTGCTGCCCCTTCTCCTTCACCTCCTCCTTCTGCGACTGCCGCTGCTTCAAACTCATATTCACTGCCTGCAGACCAAACATCAAGTCTCTCTGCAGCAGCCACCCTACGAGCCCACCCCCGACTACCCAGGTCGGAGGAGAGAATGATAGGAACGGGTGAGACGTCACACATACTCAGGATCCGATCACACACCAAGTTTGCACTGCTCACACTCCCCACGCTCCCCACGCTCCCCACACTGTCTCGGCGCCGCAGGGTCGGAACGAAGGTCAGTTCAAGGGCGCGTTCGAAGGTGCGTTCAGGCACGACACTAGCACTCCTGCAGTGTCGCGATCGAACACCATGCTGGTTTCCAGGAGAAGAGGTGGTACGACCCATGCTCTGGATACTTGTGCCCACGCTGCTGCTCCTGTGTGCTCTCCTGCCATAGCCGCTCCCCATGCTCCCTTCATCCCCATACACACACTCGGCAAGGGCTTCATTATAAGCCCACCCACCACCGCCATAATCCTCCTCACTGTCAGAACAACCACCGGAAACATACTCCTCATTATAAGAAGATTCGTTTTTCGAGTGGCGTGAGTCACCGGGATGAGAGAAGGTGGTGTAGCTTGAGTCGACCCATGAGATCGAATCTTCTTCTCCTCCTGTTCCCTTCTGGTGCATGCAAGTGCATTCCTCCTCCTCCTCCTCCTCCTCCTCCTCCTCCTCCTCCTCCTCCTCCTCCTCCTCCTCCTCCTCCTCCTCCTCCTCCTCCTCCTCCGCCTCTGTAACCGGGTTCTGAGACGGCTCAAAACTGTTCTTTCTAAATCCTGCTGTCCCCACGACAATAGATGCAGCAGCGGTGAGGGCAGCATCGGCATCAGCAGCAGCTGCAACAACGAATTTGATATCTCTGCTGCTGCTGCTTCTGCCGCTGCTGCTGCTGCTGCTGCCAAGGGGCCAAAACGAAGTGGTAATTGGGGAAGTGGAGGCATTAGCTGGTGAAGGGGAGGCATCCACAGGAGAAGGGGAGGCATCAACTGGTGAAGGGAAGGGCGGGGTGAGGCAAATGAGGGGGGCCAGCTGCGCTGCTGCTGAGGCTCTCACTGCCTCATAGCCCCCGTGCCCCAACCCCTGCCCTTGAACCACCTCCCGCAATTCCTGCCCTTGTGCTGCCTGCTGCAACCTCTCCTGCAGCTTCAGAGGCAGCTTCAGCTGTAGCAGCAGCTCTTCTCCCACCTCTCCCTGCTGCTGCAGCAGTAACTGCTCTTCCCCAGCAGCACAATCCCAATCAGCAGCACCGTCACCACCACCACCAGCACTACCCAAGTCAGCAGCAGCAGAAGCAGAAGCCGGTTGCTGGGATCTCTCGGCCGATTCCAAAACTGCAGCTTTTGCTCGTTGCCTTCGCATGAGGGCAGACGAACAACTGCCCGCCTCAGGCTGCGAACCCGGAGGAGACTCCTGCCGCATGTTGTGGGGCAAATCTTGCGGCAAATTTCGAGGCAAATTCTGGCCCCGCTCAAACACTCCCTGCGAAATTTGGGGTGAACTTGAGGGCGTATTCCGTGAGGGGTTTTGGGATGAGTTGCGCCCCCGCTCAGACGTTCCCTGGCGGGATGGCGCGTCGGCACGGGCCTGTGAGCTGCGAGGGCGCCTGGGGCTCTTGGGAGGGAGCCGGGGCTTCGGCCTGGGTTGAGCCTCCTGTCCTTCCTGTGCTGTCGCTGCTACTGCTACTGCTGCTCCTCCTACTGCTGCCGCTGCTGCTGCTTCTTCCTGCAATTCTTGTGACTCATTCGTTTCAAGGGTGTCTTGCAGCAGCCGATGGAGGTCATTGGACGAGCCGAATGCTTGCTGGGTGTGACTCGGGCCGTAGGCTAGCTGCAGCATTGTGAGAGATCGGCTCCTCCTGTGCGCTCGAGCAGACGCCTTTTGAGGCGCCTCAAAAGCAGACACGTGATACCCATATTGCATGCTCGAAGGGGAGGTTTGGAGGTGAGACGTGTGCGTGGGGGTGAGGGCCCGGGATAACCTCCTGGTGTTGCTGCTGCTGCTGCCGTAGCTGCTGACGCTCATGCTGTCGCTGCTGATATCGCCGCTGCTGCCCCCGGGCATGTAGACACTCCTGCTGCTGCTGCACACGCTGCCGCTGCAGGCGCTGCTGCCTCGGGGAATGTGGGCGCCCCTGCTGCTGCTATAGGCGCTGCTGGTACCAGGGTAGACGGGAGTAGCGTGCACGGGGATTCCATATGAATCTGGGTGTGGAGGTGGAGAGGCATAGGACGGGGCAGCAGCAGCAGCAGCAGCAGCGTATGGGCTGTGCTGTGGCGACTCGTGCCGGGATCGCTCGGTGTTGTCGGAGAGAGCACGTTTAAAGCGAGCCAACACATCAGTGCTGCCGTCAGGAAGACTTGGGCTGCTGCCCGAGCAAAAGGTGTCCTCAGAGCAACGAGGCCGGGATCGCTCGGTGTTATCAGAGAGAGCACGCTTGAAACGGTCCAACACGTCAGTGCTGCTTTCAGTGTTGTCGGAGAGAGGCATGGTGCTGTCAGCGTAAATGTCACCTTGGAGACCATTGGATGAGTATGGGAGGTCGAATGATGTCTCTCCTGCATCAGCATGAGGATCGTCAAGGTCAGCAACAAAATCAGCACCATCAGGAGCTGCACCAGAGTCAGCATCCGCATCAGCATCAACATCAGCATCAGAATCAACATCAGCATCCGCCACAGCATCAGCATCAGCATCAGCAGCAGCCAGAGAGCTTAAGGAACCCACAGAAGCAGACCGGGCAGAATGCAGCGCATTCAGAGAAGGGGAGTCCAGGGAAGGCGTGACCCGGCCAACTGAAGCATCTGCACTCGGGCCCTGCATGCTGCTGTTGCTCTGGCTCTGCCCTTTCCCCCGGCTTTTCCCAAACAGCTTCAGCACGGCTTTCAGCATCCTGCCCTTGCTGCCGCTCTTCTCACCACCACCATTGCCAGCACCTCCCACTGTCTGCTTTGGTGACAAGCTACTGCGGTCAGCTCCTTCATTCATTGCGTCCCGTGGGCTTGCAGCAGTAACACCAGCAGCAGCCGCAGCAGCAGCAGCGACGCCACCACCAGCAGCAGCAGCACCAGCACCAACGGCAGGATTGGGAGTCTTACCCAGCTCCCTTTGCCCCCTTGGGGTAATCAGCCCAAGCTCATTTCTTGCCCTGGAGGGGGTCTTGGGCACCTCATTGCCTGCTTGGGATTGGGCGGTCTTGGACTGCTCGCTCATTGCTGCTGGCGACCTGCGGAAGCTGCTGGCTTCTTCAGCCGTTCTTCTCGGCGTTTTTGGCGTCTTCGGCGTGTTGGAAATGCTGGGTGTTTTGGGTGTTTTAGGCGTGATGGGCGTTTTGGGCGTGATGGGGGTTTTGGGCGGGTTGGCAGTTTTGGGAGTGTTGGGCGTTTTGGGCGGGTTGGGTGTTTTGGGCGGGTTGAGCGTTTTGGGCGCGTCGGGCGTTTTAGGAGCGTTGGGCGTGTTGGGCGCTCCGGGCGTTTTCGGCTGCTCGACGCGTCCCTTTGAAGATCCAGAAAGTTCAGATCCTGCCCTCGGCGTCTTGGGCTGTACAGCACGCTCCAGTTTCCCAGCCCTCGGGGTCTTGGGCAGTCCAACACGCCCTTTTGGTGTAGCAGGCAGCAAATCCGCACTGAACTTTCCACATGGGTTATCAGGCAGCAGATCTGCGCCAAGTCCATCCGATTTGCCAGACTTTCCCAGCTTCCCAGCCCTGGCAGGTGGTTTTTGGGACTCCCGTTCCGTGTGAGCAGACATTGAACGCCGGAAGTCGTACCTCCTACCTCTCTCAACGGGCATGGGAGAAGCCATTCCAGGGGGAGTTTTCAAGGAAGAGTAAGCGGGATCAGGAGAAGAAGAGGAAATTGCTTGGGGAGGGGTTGAGGGCGAAGCGTCGGGGAGAGGAGGGGGGATGAGGACGTGAAGGGTAGCCGATTGAGACATATGCCGGCTGCTGCTGACGCTACTGCTGCTGCTGCTGCTGCCGCCGCTGATGCCGATGCTGCTGCTGTTGCTGCTACTAATGCTGACGCTGCTGCTGCGGATAGTGTTGGGATTTTCACTACCGCAAGCACCAATGTCGGTGTTGGTCTCGCTGATACTGAGGCTGATGCTGCTGCGTGATCGGCCGAAACTGAATCTCTGCACGGCTGCTTGGCTGGCCTTGGGCACTTGATCCACAGCTTCAAACCCCTCTTGACCCACCACTTGATCAGATTCATCAAGGTCGCAAAACACAGACCTTGAGGCCGCCTGTTTGTGGGAGGAGGACGAGGAGGGCGAGAAGGCGCGTGGTTGGCGGCGAGGGGTGAGAGGCGGCAAGGGGGGAAGTGGCAAACGGGAAGGCGTGAGGGGTTGGCGCAGGAACTCAGACGCGGAGCGAGTCAAGGCGGAGGGGGTGAGGGGCTGAAGCAGGCGGGAAGACGAGGAGCGATGTACGGGGGAGGGAGAGTCTAGTAGCATTCCGGTGGGGATCTCGAGAGCACATGAAGAGGACGACCGCCAGTGCCTGGTCAACTTCCTGCCCTCCTGCTGCGCATTCCCCTGCTGCTGCGCCTGTTTCCCCTCTTGAGGCGCCTCAGAAGGGATCTCGAGAGCACATGAAGAGGACGACCGCCAGTGCCTGGTCATCCTCCTCCCCTCCTGCTGCGGCGTCATCTGCTGCTGCGCTCGTTCCTCCTGTTGTTGCCGCTGCTGCTGCTGCTTCCCTTGCGGCTGCGGATGCTTCTCCTGCTGCTGCCACTGCTGCTGCCACCGCTCTTTCATACGCGCCAATCCTCCCTGCTTCTGCGCCTGCTGTTGTTCCGCTTCACCACACTCTTGCCATCCTTCCTCGTCTTCTCTCTCCCACCCCCCACTCCCACCATCACTCTCACTTGCCTCATCCGCTTGCTCCTCAATCACAATTGAAATTTTCTTCTTTCGCATGCCAAACCGGCCCAGCTCCGAGCCTGACCTTCCGAACCGGCGCTGCTTCCGAGCCTGCGGGGCCACAGGCTCGGCAACAGCAGCACCATCAGCAACGGCGGCAGGCACGGAGGCAGGTTGGGCGAAGGGCACGCGGGCGAATTCAGAAATGGCGTTGGTGAGAGCAGCGGAGGCCGTTTGCTCTGCGAGCTGCCTCAGATCCTTCAGTGCCACGCCGTCCCTCCGAATGCTGCTGCTACTGCTGCTGCTGCGGCGGCGGCGGCATTGCGTCCAGGCGGCATGGGCGGCGCTGATGGCGGCGATGGTGCGATGCAAGGGCGCTGGCTTCTCACGACCCGCGATGGTGCTCGGCGGATCGACTGGGGAGGGGGGGGTGGTGGAAGAGGGGGGGAAAGGGAATAGAAGGGGTACGGGGTGGGGGACAGGGGGGCAGGGGGAAGGACAAAGGGGAACAGGAGGGATAATGGTTGAGAGAGAACGGAAGAGAGTCGGGAAATGGAAATATCAGGGTGGGTAAGAAGGGAGAGAGGAGCGGAGGGCACGAGAGAGCATGCAAGGGGTATAACGGAGGTGCATGGACCAGAATCTATAAGGGGCGAGTGAGGTGACGCGTGCACTTCAGACGTTCCTAGACACTTGCTCCACTTACACACGGTGTTACACTTATAGTATTTGAGCCACTCCACGATTTCGCCCAGCTTCGCCTCCAAACAAACCGGGTAACCACTTCGCGAATCCAGCAGCGCCGCAGCCATCGGATCAGATGAGTTGACGGCCACGATCTTCCAGGACGATTTCAGGTCGGGGCTGACGACGAGGAACGCGAGCAGCGGCTTCATCAGATACACCTGCCCCACTCGAGCCTCCATGCGCCCGATTTCGATCACCTCCAACGGCGCGTGCGTGTCGCACGCCCCGTCGCACATGGTCGCGGATGTCGCCGTGTCACAGGCTGCCTCGTCGCATGCCTTATCGCAGGACGTACAAGCATCGCCAGATCCAGCCTGAAGAGCCGCTCCGGCGTTGTCGCCTTGGCGGCAGGAGCACGTCTGCGGGATGATCCCGAGGTTCCAATCGAGATTGTGACTGTAATGAGCGGGTAAACCGTCCACCTGGCGAACGCGCAGCGGATGACACGCCTCGTTACAAGCCGCCTCGATTTGCACCCACGAGTTACGCGGCGTGCAGCAAACCATAGCAATGCTGTCGCCCGCCATAAGCCCATCCAGGCCCGGCGCCGCTTCAAGAGCGAATCCACCGCCGCCGTGCGATAAAGCTGAGTCAGCAGGGCGAATCGGAATGTCATTCCACGTGGAGATCGGGTGCAGGATCGAGGTGTCCTCCTGACCTCGCCCGGACTGAATGATGGAAGGCGGAGAAGGGGAGGACGAAGACTTGTTGGACGCGGTAACGGCGCCGGGTGCGGTGGTGGAGGCGGAAGCGGGAGGGTCAGACAGGAGAAATCCCCGGTACAGCACGGATCCGGGGAGACCGAACTCGATATAGTCACTAACCTCCATGGCTGTGAACGACTTTATCAGGGAAATCACGTGCTTTCGTGTTGGAGCACGACCAGATCACTGGTTTCACAGAAAGTGACACTTGTTACACAGAACGAGCCGGATTCCAGGGAAGGAAATGTGCCAGAGGGCTTGTTTACGGCTGAGGAACAGCTCGGAGTTGCATGTCTTCTCATCTACTACCGTTCGTTCTAGCCGTTACTACTGGAACTTGGTATCAAACTACTAGGAGAGAGTTATCATCCTCAGCCGGTTGGAGTGGTTTAAAGAACTGGAACGGCTGCTAATGTGCTCTGTCTCCTGTGTGACCTTCTCGAACACGTCTACACGACTTGACGATCACTGACTCCGCAAGGGTGAGGCGGCGGAAAAAACTGATCGTCAAGTTGCCACCCGCAAAACGTCGCTGGAAAAAACGTCGCTCCGGAATCGTCAAAAAGCCGCGCCGTGCCGTGAGCTGCAAGTTGGGGCTCACCACCACCACTCGACTAGGAACCGCCGTGACAATCGGTGTCAGGCTGGCGACGTTAAGTTACAATGTCGCCATGAACGGCCATCATCTTGTCGCACTGGCGACAATCGCTGCCAGCCAGGCGACTTCAAGTGTCCGCCATCGGCAAGCGACATTCGTTGCTTTGGTCGGGGTGGTGTAAGTTTTCACGCTCGATTTCCCTCTCCCATCCCTTCCTCGGTGAACTGAGACCGACAACCTCCGTCGCTCGCTTTGCTGAGGGATCCGCGTGCCAATGATTTGGCGCCATCGGTGAAAAAGACGGCTGGACTAAACTGATCTTGGCCTTGTCGCTGTGTGGCACGACATGGGGTGGACATAACGGTACTGTAAATGCAGGGCATGGGTGGGTCCTTCGAATCGAAGTCGAAACTATTGTACAGTATCCCGACAAGTCCCATTGACTTCGAGAACATGTTCCTGAGCACAGAATAATTTCCTCCATGATAGCCTCAGCTCGCCTGAAGTCGCGACTTTTGTATGTAGTGCGAAAGCGGAGGACTATGGATGAAAGACGGCAGCTTCGGAAGGAGTACGCCACAAACAAGCAGAGTTGTTGGATCTGCTGCTACAAGCAGAGGAGATGACAGATGAAATGAAACAAACACAGCAGAGGCAAGGAATCTCCAACAGCTAGTTTGAATGAGCTTCAGTTCAGGCAGATCAGTGAAGTTGTATGGTGATGATTGAACCATCCCTCCGACCCAGAAAATTAATCATCAATGCTTCCAGTGGAATCTGGTCTAGTCTAGACTCCACCACACACAGCTGACATCCCTACCCTACGTTTGTTGCCGTGGGTCAAAAGGCCAATGGTGTGACTCGTGAGTGGCATAATTTCCCTCACGCTATTGGCTAATTACACATGGCTAGTGCTGATTGACTGGTGCTGATCCAGCCCTATCCCGAATCGAACTAGCCCCTGCATGTGGAGCCGCCCGAGAGGGGAAAGGTGCTGACCGTAAGCGACATGATTCTGTCGCCGCGGGTCGAGCGGTTGTCGCCGGGGGTCGAGCGGCTGTTCAACAGCAGGGACCCTGTACGAGCCTCTGCCAAAGCCAAGCCCTCCCAACAAGCCATCTAGGCACGGCAGGGCTTGCGCTTGACCAACCGCCTGGTTTTGATGGGTACAAATTGAGTCGCAGAAAACAAATTGGGCCAATGGTCAAGCTCGCTTCTGATCGCTCAACAAATAGCAGATACGGCCAAGCACAGCTAGCGAATCCAAACGTTGAACGAACCATTTTCGTTTGGCCATGGCCCTGATCGGTACACCCCCTTACTCCGAGTTACTGGGATTCGAGGTGGTTGACTAACTCTACCCTTACACGTGTAATGCAACAATCACACCGAGCCTGCTACAGTCGATTCTCACCTTATCCTGTGTCTAAAGTTCAGCACAATCGAAAAACCAGTCACTCGCGAACGTTTTTGCCCGTAAGTGACTGAATTGAGCATTGTGGTACAGTCACCAAGTTGGGGAAGAAAAACATCTACAGTAATTAAACAACAACGGTTGCCCGTCATCAGAAATGTTTACCCGGTTACGAACTTAAAGCTCTAGACTCGATTCACATTCCAAATTCATATTACAGTCACATTTTTGCCCGTGGCGACAATGGCGAATATGGCGAAATGCCTAAAACTATTTTCACACACATGCCGCCCGCCTACCTGGTGTTCTTGTAATAAGCACCGACTGTACTCCGAGTAAGCCCAAATGGGCGAAACGATCACATCACTTGCTTACTCGGAGTACGACCCGAAGGAATCCTGCAGGTTGATTCCTACACGGGCAAACCTTACTCCGAGTAAGGCTTTCCCTAACTCTAGCTTTTTGGGGAGTCCATCTGAGTCCTGGTGGGTTCGAATCCACCAGGTGCCTCATCCGGTGGGTTTCGTGTCAGAATGTTTTACCGTCATACCCCGGATATACCCCCATGGGGGGCAATAATAAAACAGGTTTTTTCAAGGGGATGGGCTTATAATCGAGTAAATTTATAAGCGCCGGCGTTTATAAAATGACATATATATTTTTTCTATTTTTTAACACCAAACTGTAGATCTCGTGCTTGCCTTTCCAATCGAGTCGAAGTTACATGGGGTCGTCTGTGAAATTCTCGCGCGCGCTGGGAGATACACCCAATCTGACTCACATCCAGCTCCTGACAGCTCCTGACAGCTCCTGCTGACTGAAACCCGCATCCAGTGCAGGGTCCGAATGTAAAGGGAACCGAATCTGCAACACATCCGCCTGCTAAAGTAAAAATCGTTACAGCATTTTGAACACATTTCAAAATTTAAAGTTTACTTGCGCTTATAATAAAACAAGTTTTTTTCAGGGGGTGCGCTTATAATCGAGAAGCGGATATAAGTGCCATGCGCCAATTAAAAGCGTCAGGCGCTTATCCGAGGGTGGCGCTTATATCCGGGGTATGACGGTATTCCTTACATTATGTAGGCTATAGTGGGGTAGCCCATAAGGGGTACAACCCGATTAGGGTTAGTACTTGTACCCAACTCTTTCATAGTTCATTCATTCTCGTTCATTCTTCTGACATGGTTTCAGAGCAGGTCCTTCGCTAGGACCATTTTTTTTTCCTTGGGCCCACCACTGCGCTGCCCCACTAGCCGCCCCTAGCCCGGCCCGTCGCCCCTAGGCCCGTCGTCCCGGCCCGTCGCCCCTAGGCCAGTCCGTCGCCCCTAGGCCCGTCGCCCCGGCCCGTTGCCCCGGGCCGTCACCCCTAGGCCCGTCGCCCCTAGGCCGGCCCGTAGGCCCGTCGCCCCGGCCCGTCGCCCCTAGGTCCGTCGCCCCTAGGTCCGTCGCCCCTAGCCCGGCCCGTAGGCCCGTCGCCCCTACCCCGGCCCGTCGCCCCTTAGGCCCGTCGCCCCGGCCCTGTCGACCCTAGGCCGTGCCACCTGCCCCGTCGACCCTCGGCCCGCGCGCCCCGTCAACCCTAGGCCCGCGCGCGCCCCATCGACCCTAGGCCCGCGCGCGCCCCGACGACCCGAGGCCCGCGCGCCCCGTCGACCCTGCCCCCGCGACCCGCCCCGTCGACCCTCGGCCCCGGTGCCCTGTCGACCCTAGGCCCGTCGCCCTCGGCCGGCCCGTCGCCCCTAGCCCGGCCCGTAGGCCTGTCGCCCCTAGCCCGGCCCGTCGCCCCTAGGCCCGTCGCCCTGGCCCGACGCCCTTAGGCCCGTCGCCCCTAGGCCGGCCCGTCGCCCCTAGCCCGGCCCATCGCCCTTATGCCAGGCGCCCCGGCCCGTCGCCCGACGCCCCTACGTCCGCGACCGACGCCCCTACGCCCCGGCCCGTCGTCCGTCGCCCCTAGGCCCGCGCCAGTCGCCCCTAGGCCCGCGCTAGTCGACCCCAGGCCCCGCGAGCCGCCCCTTCCAGCCCGCCCCTCGACCCTGCAGCCCGCAAGCCGCCCTTGCAGCCCCGCGCGCCGCCCCTGGTGGCCCACTCGCCACCCTTGCTCCTCTGCTAGTTGCCCCTTGCCGCCCTCTCACTGCCCCTTTGCTGCTGCCTGCCCTATGCTCTGCGATGCTCTGCTTCTCATCGCTCTGCGTGCTGCGCCACTATGGCTTCTCTCCGTGTGCTAGCGTTCGGTAATGAGGGACGCCCCCTACAGTTTGACACGTGGCTCGAGGACCTGCAGCTGTACCTACTGAGCGACTCTAGGGACAGTGTTTCGTTGTTTGACCACACGTCTGGCGCCGCTCCCGCCCCTCCCGCCACAGCTGACAGTGCGACTCGCTCACAGTGGCTTACTCGCGACGTTGCTGCCCGCTTAGACATTCACAACCACCTACCGTTGGCCGAATGCGCTCACATCGGACAGCACAAGACAGCACAGGCACTGTACGACGTCGTCGTCGCTCACTACTCCTCGCCTGCCACTGCTGCTCTAGGCCGCCTCCTACTGCCCTACCTGTTCCCCGAGCTGTCCGCCTTTGCCATAGTAGAGGACCTAGTTTCCCACCTTCGCACTAGCGACGCTCGCTACCGCGCTGCCCTCCCAGCAAAGTTCCTTGCCAAGAACCCACCCCCGATGTACATCACTCTTTGCTTTGTGGTCACCCGCCTCCCTGAATCTCTTCGCGCTGTCAGGGACCACTTTCTCGCCCTTGACCCCATAGCCCTCACTGTTGACCTACTCGAGCAGCACCTCCTTGCAGCTGAGACTAGTGTAGTCGCTGTAGGTGCTGCTCGTGGCACTCCACGCACGCCCTTCTTTGAGCGGTGCCCCACCTCCCCCCTTGCACCCTCCTATGCCTCTGCTGCTGGTGCTAACGTCCCTGGTGCTGTGGACGTCGGGGTCGCTTCTGCTAGTGCAAAGCGCCGCAGCAGCAAGGGCAAGGGTGGCAGGGGTGGTGGCGGTGGCAGCGGCGGTGGTGGTGGGGGCAGGAGTGGAGGTGGTGGGGGCAGTGGAGGTGGTGGCAGCGGTGGGAGTGGTGGCGGGAGTGGGGGCTTTGGTGGCGGCGGTGG